TATCTATAAGAACACTGGATTATATATCTTACTGTTCTTTTCTTTATATATATATATATATATATATATATATATATATATATATATATATATATATATATATATAGTGGACTCTCGTCGTATTGAGAGTCAAGCAGCTCAGTTCCTAGGAACTGACAGCCAAACACCAGCACATATGATTTGGTTGTAGTGGTGAAGGCTTTGTGCAGGACCATCCACACTTTTTGAAGGGCCGAATACAGAGACCTGGTGCACTACGTGCCACAAGGTCCCCAAACAACCCTCCGCAGGTTTTGAATTTAGAGTTGTCCTTCTCCTAGACTAGTTGCCACCCCAGGCTATAGAACACAGTCTGTCCTGCTATTTACCAACAGCTGGTGGGAGAAGAAGAGGATTAATACCTTTCCTAAGTGTATTAGCACGTAAGTAAATGTAATGGATTCGACTGAAATTCGAACTCGGCTCCCCGATTCCTCAATCCGATATATATATATATATATATATATATATATAAAGGAAATATGTTGTAGTGGTTCCAACGAGAGAAAAGTATGTATATTAAAAAGAAGAGGGGTGCCGCAAACGTTTTTTGGTTGTAATGTGGATTTATTGAGAAAAAATATTATACTTTGTTTTACATAATTTCACGACACGTGTTTCTGGTCTGGTCTCGCAACCGTCTTCAGGTGAAAGTGGAGATTTTTACATATTATTAAAAATAATTAATTTTTCTTCATGTTCAATGTGGAATATTCTCGATATGAGACATTCTGTTTTGTGTTGGCAATCCGAATTTTCTTTCTAGAATTGTCAATGAAGAGTTCTGCGTGAAGGGTCATAAAACAATTAAGGTTTGTCCAGCGAGTAGTTATCGGCATTTAATCTTTTAATGTTTTAGTGACCTCTATGTGCTCTTGGATCTCTCTCTCTCTCTCTCTATATATATATATATATTTATTTATTTGTGTGTGTGTGTGTATGTGTGTGTTGTAAGGGAATATTTCCCTACAAGTTTGGACTCGGCCGTCGGACGAAAGGCATAAAAGAGGAGTAGCAGGAGGAGCAGTAGCAGCAGTAGCTTCTGCTGATAACAGTCATTCATGGATAAACATTATGTTTCCCTGTACCAAAAAGTAATAAACTTGTTAAATCAATTACGGTTTTCTAGTGTTGTTTTTGATAACTCGGTTACTACAATATATAAAGGAGAGAATAAAGTTGTTACAACGAGAGAAAGTCTATATTTTAAATAGGAAAGAGAATCCGAAAACGTTTTTGAATATAATGGGTTATTTTTTATATATATACTTTATTTTAAAGGACGAATATATGCACACATACTGGCAAAAACAAACACTAGACGGACCAAATGCACACACAAACTACACAAGCATCATACAAAGTGTGTGTGTATATATGCTTTAAAACAATATATATGTATGGAGAAGGAATACACATACTTGCAAAAGCGCACACACAGAATACACAAATACTGTAATACACAAAGGAAGATTTTTCTACCTCCCAAAGAAGAATTTGGATTACTAAAACATACAAATGACAATGGTTAAACATAAGAAAACATAAGAAAAAATTAATCCCTTTAAAATAAATAATATGTGGAAATAGCCATTCTTCGTCTGCTGAACGCCACAAGAAACACGTGCAGCCAAAAAATATGAAAAAATAAAATATAATATATTAAAAAAAATGTATATTATAACCAAAAATGTTTGCGGCTTCTCTCTCTCTCTCACACACACACACACACATATATATATATATATATATATATATATATATATATATATATATATATATGAAAGATTATTACCTTTTAAATATCAATTTTATCACGACTTCGATGTTTCTTGGTAAAGTTTCCAGTCTTCAGGGGTTATGGTAAATTACGGTGAGATATATACTAATATACTATACAGTAAATCACAACCTCTGAAGACAAGAAATTTTACCAAGAAACATCGATGTCGGGATAAAATTGATATTTAAAAGTTAAGCAATCTTTTCATATAATATCATTAATGCTCTATTTTTAATATTATTTGATATTTTTAATATTGAGTACTATGTATAAAAAATATCCACTGTTAAATCTGATATATATATATATATATATATATATATATATATATTTAGTGTAGTATATTTATAGGATAAAGTGCTTTATAGAGCGTATGTATTTACACACGCTCTATCTCTGATATTGAGCACTTTATCCCATAAATATACCACACCTTAACACTATATTTCTTCATATTCAGCCCTGATAAACAGTAGAGCCCTTTCGTTACATTTATGATATATATATATATATATATATATATATATATATATATATATAGGAAGAGAGAGAGAGAGGAGAGAGAGCTGTCGAAAGAGCAATTCATAGAGAGAGAGAGAGAGTGAGAGAGAGAGGGGAGGAAAAAGAGAGAAAGAGAGAGAGAGAGACAGTGTGTGTGTGAGAGAGAGAGAGAGAGAGGGAAACAATTTTACGCTCAAAATTAAGGTAATTATGAATCATTGCTTTCTATTTTTGTTACACAAGGACTAGAAGTACTGCAGGAGAAGAGAAAAGGGAATCGCTTCATTTGTCACGTGACCCATTTGCGAAAGTCCTGTATCTTTTTTTTCTTTGCGACAAATGACGGTCGTCTCGTTGCATTCAAGACTAAATGAGATTTAATTAAGAGAAATGATATCTCTGCCGCCTTCATTTTTGACCTCGCTTTCCGCTTCGAAATTCGAGAGATATTAAAATAATAATAATAATAATAATAATAATAATAATAATTACCATGAAACACAACGAAATGAATTCAAATAATAATTGTTTCGGATGTCGGCAAAATACTTTATTTTTATCTTCGTTTCCAACTCCCGAAAAAAGACGCTGAATTTCCCTGGCAAAATAGTCATTTACTAGAGTAATTTTACTAGAGTAAATGACTATTTTGCCAGCGAAATTCAGCGTCATTGTTTTAGTATATTAGTATATATCGCACTGAGAAGGCACGCTGGAGTAATGGAGAAATAGATAGTGGCTCGGATTGAGGAATCGGAGAGCCGAGTACGAATTGTAGTCGAATTACATTCACTTACGTGCTAATACCCTTGGGAAAGTTATGGATCCTCTTTTTTCTCTCCCAGCTATGGGTAAATAGCAGGACACACTGGGTAGCAACCGGCCTAAGAGAAAGAAAAACTCTGAATTCAAAACAGGCCTATCATGCCCAAGAAACACAACTTCTACTTCTTGGCTGCAGTACACATGGGTTGAGGGTGCTGCCAGTATGGCTCAGATTACACTAGCTACCTCACCCCCACATAGAGTCTTCGGGTGCTTACTTGTAGATTCAAATATAAGCACTTCTTGATATTCAATCCTTGAAGAAAGATCGAATCATATTTTTACCTATAGGATTAAACTGCGATAGATAGATAGATAGATAGATAGATAGATAGATAGATAGCAATACCCATTTGCGAAAGTCCTGTTTCTTTTTTCTTTGGGACAAATGGCGGTCGTTTCGCTGCATTCAAGACTAAATGAGATTTAATTAATAGAACTGATATCTCCGTCTTCAAATATATTCCGATATTAAACAGAATCTCTCTCTCTCTCTCTCTCTCTCTCTATATATATATATATATATATATATATATATATATATATATATATATATGTATATATCGCGACTAGAGTCGCTCGATTCACTCGTTCTTTCCATCTTATCTATTTCCAAAGAAGTGATGGATTTTTTATTTATTAATCCAATAGATTTTATTAGTTAAAACGTTATTTTTAGTGGATACTTGTATTTGAGTAGACCCTCCGTTTATTTATTAAACAGTATATTTATCTATTATCGTCTACCGGCCTGAATATTCGTGAAAAATATTAAAGAAAAATATCAGCTCACTGGCAGGATTCCAAGCTGCATCCACCTTGTCAGGAGAAACCGACGTTATATGCAACGTCGATGCAATATCGATTGACACTAATAAGGCATTATTCAACTATTCAAGATGCTCGAGAGCACATCGGATCTATTTTAGTTAAATAACATTCAGTTTGTTCATTATGTATGTATGTATTCTTGCAGCCTGTTCATATCTATCTATCTATCTATCTATCTATCTATCTATCTATCTATCTATCTATCTATCTATCTATCTATCTATCTATCTATCTCTTTCTGTTAATTGCGATCTCACTCTGTTCATATCTATCTATCTATCTATCTATCTATCTATCTATCTATCTATCTATCTATCTATCTCAGTTTATACATATCTATCTATCTATCTATCTATCTATCTATCTATCTATCTATCTATCTATCTATCTATTCATTTTTGCATCCTGTTCATATTTATCTCAGTCTGTTCATATCTATCTATCTATCTATCTATCTATCTATCTATCTATCTATCTATCTATCTATCTATCTATCTCTTTCTGTTAACTGCGATCTCACTCTGTTCATATCTATCTATCTATCTATCTATCTATCTATCTATTCATTTTTGCATCCTGTTCATATTTATCTCAGTCTGTTCATATCTATCTATCTATCTATCTATCTATCTATCTATCTATCTATCTATCTATCTATCTATCTATCTATCTGTTAACAGCGATCTCACTGTTCATATCTATCTATCTATCTATCTATCTATCTATCTATCTATCTATCTATCTATCTATCTATCTATCTATCTCAGTCTGGACGTTTTTATGTGTGAGTTTATTACAAGCTAAGTTTGCTTCCGTCTCTACTGCCTTAGTGGTTTTATCGCCTTCCTTGGTGTGAAATGAATCCAAAACAGCCCTAAACAATATCTGCTGGTGAATTTTGCATTCATTTAAGGAATTGAAAAGTTACATAATATTCGGGTTGAGGAACAAAATTTTAAACTTAACATTTTAAAAGTATATATTAATATATACAAATATATTAAAACAAAGGTGGGGGGAAGAGTAAAGATAAGAAAAAGAAATAAATTATTACCCATCATAAAATGAAAAGAAGCAAACAAAAAACAAATGAGCAAACCGATTATCGATCCTTGCTCTTCAGAGCTTAATCGAAGACAAAAACATATAGAAATAAGCTCAACAACAATGTTATCTCCATCCGCCTTTATTTTAATATATTTGAGCGTCCTGGGTATGACGATAAACTACATCCGCATCTTGGGTAACAAGATAAACTACAACCAACAGCAAGGCCTCTGATCAGGAGGTTTTGAGGAGCATGGAACCACCTCTTAATTACTGGTGTTCCTAGGTCCACCCTGACCTGGAGTGGTAGCCCCTGTTAGGGTCCCAGCTATGGGCAAATAGTTAATCCTCAAACTGGGGTCAAAACACAATGAAAGTTTAAAAATAGGTTTTAGTACCAGCAATACATTTTTTAAAAAAATATTACCAGCAATAAAGTTTTGCAAAAAAAAAAAAAAACCCAAAAACAAAACAAAAAAAACAAAACAAAAAACAAAACAAAATTACGAGCCATACATTTTTGATAAAAAATATTACCAGCATTAAATAAACCATTGAGATTGATATTCCGTAAAAAAAAAAAACAAACAAAAAATATTACCAGCAAGAGAAATCTTGTCGGCATTAAATAAACCATTGAGATTGATATGCCGTAAACCAAACCAAACTAATATATTTGGACATATTAATATATAACTTTAAAATGTATGATTTCAAAAACCGTAATGAAAAGTTTATTTTCTTTGATGTCATGAGTTCAGTCTCCGGTTGATGCAATGCAGTTTGAATATCCGTTCAAGATCAATAAAAGACTTTAATATCCGGCTGTTGCAATGCAGGTGCACAAAGGTTCAATAAAGAAGTCAGTGCTGCAAAACGAAAAGAAAAAAAAAGCAATTAAAAATATTGATATTTTTAAGAAGTTGTTTAATCCTACACCTTGTGCCAAACTTAACGGTGCTTGGCACACCAAATATCAGAGCTTTATAGCCTATGATATCCTCTGACAATTCAATTCGCGTGATTACGATCCACACCGGAGGGTTAATCTATTTTGATCTTTTATGCGTAATCGTCTCACTAATCAGTCATTGGTAAAATTTGGATCCCTAATATAGACTGAAATTAGTAACAAGCTCAGCTTGCAATCGATTTACTCGGGTGTAGAATTCCTTAAATACTTTAGCAAAAAAAAAAAAAAAAAGAAAAAGAAAAAATGTTGTGTGAAATCAATGCATTTGCCTGCAGTAAGATGATCATTAATACCACTGAGGGGGTAGGAAGCTGAACCTCCTTTCCGGGGGAGCGATCTGTTAATAGAATAAATATCCGTGATGTTTTAGCAGAAACGATCAGGTTGACATTATAGTGATTTTCAAAACGTAGCGGAGACGTGGCACAAGGCCAAAAGCATGGAGCACCCCGAGGGGATCGAACTGTATTCAGTCATAATTGATCTAGCAAGACAAGCTTGCTAACCATTAAACCACGTCGAAGTGCCTCAAAAATAGTTTCTAGGCGTAACTTAGATGCGGCACAAGACCGAAAGTGTGGAGCACCCAGTGAGGATCGAACTCACTACTCAGTCGTAATTGATCTGATCAGGTTGATATTATGAGAAGAGTTCTATTTTTCAATTATATTTTAAGCAAATAAAAAAATGATATTCTTATATTCGTTCCTAATCATATGCTTATATACGGTCGATTCATATTCTAATATTATTTCTTATTCATATTCTTATATTCGTTCCTAATCATATTCTTATATTCATTCCTAATCATATTCTTATATAAGTTCAATTGATATTCTAATATTATTTCTTATTCATATTCTTATAATCGTTCCTAATCATATTCTTATATTCATTCCTAATCATATTCTTATATACGTTCGATTGATATTCTAATATTATTTCTTATTCATATTCTTATATTCGTTTCTAATCATATTCTTATATTCGTTCGATTGATATTCTAATATTATTTCTTATTCATATTCTTATATTCGTTTCTAATCATATTCTTGTGTTCGTTCATTACTATTTTACGTAATGTAAGACCATTGATATTCTTTCAACATGAAGAAATATAAATATCGAAATAAAAAATGCCTACATATAGATACATCCTTATCCACACACACACACTCACACTCACTCAGAAACAAGCACACGCACGTATACACACGCACACGCACGCACGCACACACACGCACACACGCACGTACAAAACATTTTGATAATAGCTTATAAAAATGTCTTAGGACATTGGAAAAAGATAGGTTTTGGGGGAGAATTTTAGCGTTAAAGAAATTTAGAAAAAATAATATAAGCAACCAACCGAATACAAAAATAAAGACACACTGAAATTGTTTTGGGAAGCAGTGGCATCTGAATTATAAACAAGATTAAAATTATATTACGTCGGTATTTAAAATTATAATTTTATTTATTATTTATTTAATTATAATTCGTCAGTATTTAAAATTATAATTTTATTTATTTTTTATTTAATTATAATCCGTCGGTATTTAAAATTATAATTTTATTTATTATTTATTTAATTATAATCCGTCAGTATTTAAAATTATAATTTTATTTATTATTTATTTAATTATAATCCGTCAGTATTTAAAATTATAATTTTATTTAATATTTATTTAATTATAATCCGTCGGTATTTAAAATTATAATTTTATTTATTATTTATTTAATAATAATCCGTCGGTATTTAAAATTTTAATTTTATTTATTATTTATTTAATTATAATCCGTCGGTATTTAAAATTATAATTTTATTTATTATTTATTTAATTATAATTCGTCAGTATTTAAAATTATAATTTTATTTATTTTTATTTAATTATAATCCGTCGGTATTTAAAATTATAATTTTATTTATTATTTATTTAATTATAATTCGTCAGTATTTAAAATTATAATTTTATTTATTATTTATTTAATTATAATGCGTCGCTATTTAAAATTATAATTTTATTTATTATTTATTTAATTATAATCCATTGGTATTTAAAATTATAATTTTATTTATTATTTATTTAATTATAATCCGTCAGTATTTAAAATTATAATTTTATTTATCTTTTATTTAATTATAATCCGTCGGTATTTAAAATTATAATTTTATTTATTATTTATTTAATTATAATACGTCAGTATTTAAAATTATAATTTTATTTATTATTTATTTAATTATAATCCGTCAGTTTTTAAAATTATAATTTTATTTATTTTTATTTAATTATAATCCGTCGGTATTTAAAATTATAATTTTATTTATTATTTATTTAATTATAATCCGTCAGTATTTAAAATTATAATTTTATTTATTATTTATTTAATTATAATCCGTCGGTATTTAAAATTATAATTTTATTTTTTTTTTATTTAATTATAATCCGTCGGTATTTAAAATTATAATTTTATTTATTATTTATTTAATTATAATCCGTCGGTATTTAAAATTATAATTTTATTTATTATTTATTTAATTATAATTCGTCAGTATTTAAAATTATAATTTTATTTATTATTTATTTAATTATAATCCGTCAGTATTTAAAATTATAATTTTATTTATTATTTATTTAATTATAATTCGTCAGTATTTAAAATTATAATTTTATTCATTATTTATTTAATTATAATCGGTCAGTATTTAAAATTATAATTTTATTTATTATTTATTTAAGTATAATCCGTCGGTATTTAAAATTATAATTTTTTTATTATTTATTTAATTATAATCCGTCAGTATTTAAAATTATAATTTTATTTATTTTTATTTAATTATAATCCGTCGGTATTTAAAATTATAATTTTATTTATTATTTATTTAATTATAATCCGTCAGTATTTAAAATTATAATTTTATTTATTATTTATTTAATTATAATCCGTCGGTATTTAAAATTATAATTTTATTTATTTTTATTTAATTATAATCCGTCGGTATTTAAAATTATAATTTTATTTATTATTTATTTAATTATAATCCGTCGGTATTTAAAATTATAATTTTATTTATTATTTATTTAATTATAAACCGGCGGTATTTAAAAGTTTTTGATTCGAACAAACACCTTAGATTAGATTATCAGCTATATGAAAAATTTCAAAACATCTAATTCTTTGAAATAATTCAAAATCTATCCTCCGTAAAATAATTCTTTTTTATGAATTCTTATGTCCTTTTTAGGAGATTGTATCTCCAACACTTAGACCTGGGTATGACGATAAATTACATCCGGCAGCAAGGCCTATGATCGGGAGATTGGAAGTTTTGATGAGCCTGGAACCACCTCTTAATTGATGTTGTTCTCAGGACAACCTTGATCCGGTGTGGTAACACCTGTTAAGTTCCCAGGTATGGGAAAATAATACCCCCCCTCCACCAAACAAAATCAAAATACAATGAATGTAAAGAACTATGTATTTTTTACTGAAATTACCAGCAATAAATATTTAAAGTATAATTACTAGCAATACATTTTATAGCAAGATGATCCATTTTATCTGTAGTTGAAAGCACGCAACTGCGTCAAAATATTAATTTTCGGCACTAAATAGCCCATAGAGTTTGATATCTCCAATTCTAACTTATACATGAACCACACTATCTCGTAGGTTGACTTATTATTTGTCAAAATTTAGCGCAATTCGCATAGATACAGATCGACAAATTCTAATTGAAAACA